GAAGAGGATGCTGAGGGGAGACCTTATTGCTCTCTACAACTGCCTGACAGGAGACTGTAGTGAGGGGGGGAACGGTTTCTTCTCCCAAGTAACAAGCAATAGGACAAGAGGAAAAAACCTCAAGTTGTGCCAGGGGAGGTTTAGATTGGATATTAGGAAAAATTTCTTCACCATAAGGGTAGTCAGGCATTGGACCAGGCTGCCAGGGAAGTGGTTGAGTCTCCCATCCCTGGGGTATTTAAAAGGCGTGTAGATGTGGTGCTTAGGGACGTGGTTTAGTGGTGGACTTGGCAGTGCCAGGTTAACGGTTGGACTCGATGATCTCAAGGGTCTTTTCCCACCTTAATGATTCTATGATTCTGTGTATTTGTCAAAGTATGAGTAATCCAGGAGTCTCCCTTGAAGTGTTCCAACATCCAGTTTGTGTTTTGACGGGCTTGAGTATTCTTATAATAACAGCAAGAAAATGTTTCCAAGTTTTGTTATGCCTTTTTAGTGTTTGATCCATGTACAATCTTACAGAATAAAAGAATCTCACTGTGCCCAGTTTTGGGTGTATGTAATTTCCCTCAGTATGAGACACAGGCATAGACAAACCGGAGTGAATTCAGGAAAGGGCCACTGAGATGATTAGGGGGCCAAAACATATGGTGTATAGACGAGAGACTCAAACGCTGCTTTTTTTTAGCCTGGAGGAGACAAGACTAAGCACGGTGGATCCAGTTGCTGTCTTCAGCTACCAATGGATAGTTACAGAGGAGACTGAGTGAAACTTTTTTCAGAGCAGAATATGAAGCAACAGCCATGATTTTATGGGATGTAAGATTCTGATAAAAAAAGGAAAAAATTTTCACAGTGAGAATGGTCAGGCAATAGAAGAGGTTCCCCAGAGATTGTGCTATCACTGTCCTTGGAGATACTCAAAACTTGACTGGGAAAGGCCCTAAGCAACCTAGTCTTTGAAGTAAGGCCTGCTTTGAGTGGAAGGTCGGACTAGATGCCCTTCCAAACTAAATTATTTGGTAATTCAGTCATTTTAACCTAGGGCACTTGCGGCAGGGGAGTTTTAGATTAGATATTAGGAGAAATTTCTTCACTGAAAGGGTTATCAAGCACTGGAACAGGCTGTCCAGGGAAGTGGTTGAGTCACTATGCCTGGAGGTATTTAAAAGAGGTGTAGCTGTAGTGCTTAGCGACATGGTTTAGTGTTAGGTGTATGGTTGGACTTGATGATCTTAAAGGTCTTTTCCAACCTAAATGATTCTACGATTCAGTGATTTTTCTGGAGCTTGCCACAATTAAATATAAACACATGCAACTGTTAGTTATATGTTCAGAATAACTATGTTGAGAACAATACAATATCTCAGCATTAATTAAATGTTAATTCAACCTTTTATATCAAAACAAATGTCAAAACGAGCTCTGACTCAAAGGAGACCCAAATTCTGCTTCTTTTGAGCCACATCAGTATTAAAACAATATTTTATGACCTAGTAATAAATGACATCTCTGGCTACTGGGACTAGATGTTACAATATTAGATGCCCACTGTGTATGTGTCATGTCTTTAAATGTTTACTGCTTCTTAGTCATTTGGATCTGGGAGTTCCCAAGGGTGAGTATATCTTAAGAGACAGTAAGAGGAGAGGTTAAAATAGGAGCAAGTAACTGCATTTTCATCCATTGGTTCTACAGTACTAAGTCTTGTCTTATTTGGAGTCCTCAGCATGGGATATACTGTAAAAACTATACCGGAGCTACAAATGTCTGTATACCTATGAGGGATATCTGCCCATTTTTCCTTTTTTAAGTAGAATTTGCTGCCTGTCACAGTTGATCTTTAGCTCTTGATAAAGAGCAACCTCTCCCCATTGCTATTCTTTATCTTTTTTGACATCATAGCTGCCCAGAGTGAAATGGAGGAATGGAACATGCCTCCACGTTCTTTTGCAGCATCCAGACTTGGCTGTGTTTTAGTGATGCACAGGCCAATTAAGTTTTGACACTGTGGCTGCACTTCCAAGCTTTTCATATTTGTCAAAAATGTGTCTTCCTGAAAATTTAAGTCACTGGACTGAATAATTGTTGATTAAATTTTGGAGATCAAAACATTGTCTAGACCAAGGCCTAAGTCAGAAGCAATCAAGCACATCCATGTGAGACTGTAGTCTTGCAGCTGCTCTGGCATCACTATTGGTTCCCATCTAGAAATATGAAAAAAGTTTGGACAACTCTTTATTTAATAGTGTTCTCGCTTTCTACATTTGTGAAAGGATAAATTCCAATGATTGAGTTAATTTTCCTTTTAAAGGTAAGTGAAGAGGAGGTTAGTAGCTTTATTCTGTCTTGTCCAGCTCTAAAAGACCTGCCTTAGATTTTAGAAGCTTAAATTAAAATTTATTAGCTTAAAGATACAGTAGTCAAACTCTAATATTGACAGCAATATGCTGCAATGCCTATTTATGATGTCACCTGGCAAGCATTCTGACCTTCACCTTTGTGTTTGAAATTACTTTCTGTTCTCTCTGTGAATGATTCATGTAAATATCCAAATTATATGAAATTTGGATAATATCCAAATTATTTGAATCTCAAGCATTGCTAGTTGAAACTGCATGTTCCACTTAACATGAAGACCATACATTACAATCATAAATTAATTGAAAACTTTTCTGTGAGAGATTAAGCAGATCACTATGAAATGGGATCATCAGTAGCTTTCTTTAAAAAATACATCTGAACTGCAGCTTTCGATATCAAGTGTTTTGTTATCAGCTATTCTCAGAGAATTGGAGCAATAGTCTCCATTTGAACAAGTCCTTCAGTCCTCTCTGGACTCTTTGCTATGTCTATACAAAGTACTGATAGTTTGGGGGATTCTAGTGCTTAGTACCATGCTAAATTCTTCTCTAAATATGCTCCCATGTGATTAAGCATTTATTGACCCACGCAAAGGAATGTCCAAGAACCAGTCTTATTGTTCAGATAAGTGCTTGTGAGAAATACTTGATTTTTTTAAGCTTTTAAGTGAAAACTTATTTTTTGGGTTTTTGCAGAGTCTGTGTCCGTTCCCGCTGTTGGGATGCCTGTATGGTTGTAGATGGAGGAACATCTTTTGAGTTCAATGATGGGGCGATAGCTTCAATAATGATTGATACAGAGGATGCACTGTGCACTGTTTTGCTGGAAGAATGAAGGACCCTAGCGTCTTCTGCTGAAACAATTCCAGATCCACAGAGGGAGCTTTTGGGGATATATAGCACATCACAATGCTGCATTAAGTTGGAAGTTGGCCTTCTTGGATGCAAGAGCATTTGGAGGAAGCTTGAGATGCTTTTCACTCCTTTGGGCTGGGGAAATCTTAGCCTGTTATTTAAGCTCTTTTTGCATCTGGTGTAAAAGAAATACATCAGAAGTCTTACCTCTAACTTCAGTGAAAATTGACATTTTAACCTGTAAGGCAAACACGAAAGAACATCTTTTTAAACACAGGTAGATGGGTTTAAGTATTAAGTCAGTAGCATTAAATATTCAAATGTACAGTTTTGTAGTAACAGTCTGGGACTGATGAAACTAAACGCCTTCATGCATATACTTTTGTAGAAAAGTTGACTGTCAATCTAGCAATTTGATGCAAGGATATATAGATTTTGGTAAATCCTGATGTTGATGTAATAGAAACGGAAATACAAACCTTTTGTATGCTTTTGAAAAATTTTACAACTTTGTAGTTTCATACAACTTGTGACAATTTTTTTTTTGCTCTTCCAGTATTTTTTCTACTTTGTAGATTTACATCAAAAGTAAAGGTTTGGTTTAATCATATCTTGAATGAGGTAGAGCTCTTACCTTTTCTCTTTGGTTAGAGAGGGACTTGAAACCCAAGGGTGTTCTTGACCCCTTTAATAGAAATATACAAGCTGTAGGAAACATGTTGAAGTAAGATATGCTCCTTCACTGAATGGATTAGCTGGCTAGCAGGTGTTCGGTCACAGTAGTGTATGTAGGTGGCTATCATTAAGAAGGATATTTGGCCTTACTAAGCTGAATGGTTTGAATTTTAGGTTCTGAGTTTCTTTACAATTGGAGAAGAATGAGATGTGCTGGGTGCTAGTAGTTGGAGCACAAGTCTCTCAGTTTTCCAAGAATGTTTTTAACTTCCCCAGAAAGTTTAAATTTCCAATCCTGTGCTGAATTCTACTGGTATTAATTGGCAACAAATTGATTTTAATTTTACATGCCTCTGATCATGTGTTAGGTAAGCAAGTTGATAATAAGAAAAAAGCTCTGATCATAGAAGAGGAAGTGACTTTTTAGATAAGGTTTTAGAGAAACTGTGAACTATGACTGCCTTTGAAAGTCTGTGCTGATAATTGCATCGATGAGAGGGCAGAATTTGACAAAGTGAAGATTCCTACAGCAGGAACTCTTCTGCTACATGACTTGAAACAAATGTGTTTTGTCCTGTCTACTACAGATCTATTTCCAAAAGTGAGTTTTCTTTAAACTACTTCTGAACGAAGAGACTTCTGTAACAGATGTTCTCAGGTCTAATGGCAATGTTCTCTCCACCAGTGTGGCCATTCAGTGTATTTATTGCCAATCACAAAATGTAAACTCATCTTTATAGCTCGAGGAAGTGGATAAAGGATTTTTTCCTTCTACTACTTAAGTGTTTGTATTCACTCTAAACCAGAATTTAGAGGAAATTGATTTAACCAGACTATTCAATTCTAGGAAAATGTGATAACTGATGGAGCTTTTTGAAAAAGCTGTCACTGTTTGTGTACATTTCACCTTTTAAGTGTGCTGCAGATTGAGTTATTTAGACTATCTGCTTGAGTTATCAGGATGGCAGACCAGAAGGGGAAAATCAAAGTAGCCAAATACTCTTTCCAAATTTGGTAAGTTCAGGAACTATCAGAATAAAGCTCTTAATGTCTAAGATAATCTGCAAAACTGGTCTAAAGGTAAAGATGCAAAAGACTAATCTTGCTTTAGAAAGTTGGCTGCACACAGACTAGAGTGTTTCAGTTATTCCTAATCCATCCGTAACCAGTTAAGGATGGTTTATGTGCCTCTGTCTAGTACACTAGTCAATATTAAATATTACTGTTAAGATTAAAAAACAAACCCACCTACAACCCACCAATGCCATTAACACTAATTTATGACTTCTAGGACTTTACCACTGCATTAGATCAGAGGTTTAGGTATTGAAAGTGTCCTTGAATACCTGCATAGACAAATTTATGGCAGAAGCCCTGTCTCCTACTTACAGACATTTGTGTGCTGTAATGTTTTAATGGAGACTGATTAGTCTGATCAGGGTGCATACCTCTTAAAGATGCCTGTCATTCCTTATTATTAATGCTGACTAAAAGGCAATGTTTCAGGCCCTACAGGCCCAAGGTATGATCTGGTTTAGGGCTTAGTAAGATTTCACAGTCAAATTCCTAATTTACTTAGCAAAATGGAAACCTGACCTACTCATGAGTGGCCTCTACTGGTTTTGTCTGTATTTAATTGCACTTCTGTTGAAGCATTTACTGGTGAATGCTTGATTTAAATAACTAGAATGATTCAGAGATCTATAATAGATAACAGTAAGCAGCTACCTTTTTTTATTAAAGAACTGTAGAATCCTTTTTAAGGATCTTTTATTACAAAGGATTGCAGTACAGACAACTAAGCTGGTAGACAGTATTCTGTGACAGGACCGAGTATTGGTTTAACACTGATTTAATCTGCCTGGACTGGCAGTGAACTCTGCACCTCTTCTACCTGCTGAATCAAATCCATGGTCTTTTCATTTAGTGCCAGTCCACACTGTGTTCTGCTAAACTAGACCTGTCATTCTTTGCTTTTTTTTAAAAAAGTGGTGTTTATACATTATGTAATAAAAATTAAAAACTTAATAGATACATGAAGCTGTCCTGTTCCTTATTTCAACTTCCAGAAGCGTTTCGTGTGCTCGCTGCTTCTCACTTACTGTGCATTGGTTTTAAATAATGGTTTCTAAGCCTTCATGCTTTAGGCAAAATGCAGAGACTTATCTACATAGCAGTTTTTGGTATGGATTGCTTGGAGCTACCAAGTAGCTTTTTTCAGTTAGGAAAAGGTCAGTGCTGCACCTTACCCAGACAGCTTCCATTATGTGTCTGCTACAGCTGCCATCATAACCAGTAGACCTGCAATAGAATGTCTGTTCTCTTCCAACACTGAACCTGGTACTTAAAAAGACAAGTTCAGGACTATTCTTTCTAGCTAAAGCCATACTACCATCCCAATTCTGTGCAGGGTTTTAAAGCACAGTCTATGAAATACTAAATGTATTGGTGATAACACCCTGTCCTCTAAACCACCATCATTTAGACATTGCTTGGACAAATTTATCCTTTTTTTTTTTTTAAACCCATGAGACAAAGTTGGTGGCAAGTCACAGAAAGTGTTCTCCCAGCCAACAGTCATTTTATACAATACAGCAATTCCTTAGATCTTTATTAAATGCAAGAGAAGTTGTATGGGGTTACATTGTGCATAGAGAGAAGAATTTACAATAGTGCTGTGCTGCAAAGATTTACTTTTTTCTTGAAGTAATTTAAGGCATAAACCTAAGGCTGCAAACCATGAAGCAGTAAAATATCCAGTATCCTCCAACCTCCCATCACTTCTCCACTCCAGCTTTCACAAAGTACGTTGCCCATTAACTCCTTTGTAAGGGGCACAAGCCCACTAGTGACTCAAGTGTTACACTCTCTTAAATTTAATAAAAACCCAAACGACTTAGAACAGATTAACAAGATAATGCTGTATTTGCTATACTATAGAAAGTCACGTTAAATATCAGATTCTAGTACTCATACAATCTTTCTGCAGTAATTAATCTGTTCTGTACTACCAGGTATTTATTCCTGAACTCTTTTCTTCAGATTGAGATTGGAAACACTATACCTATGCAATAGCCTTACAGTAATGCTGTAGGCTAACCTTAAACATCCATGAATAAATTCACCATCTGCTTGCTTACTGCATTCATGGGAACTACAGCAGCATATTCATGACCTACACAGGGTGCAAGTTTTCCCTAAGACTTCTCAACTAACACTTACACCTGCTGGAACATTCACTCCAGGCTTACACACGAGGACCCCGATGACAGACCCAGATCAAAGTTTTATTTGAAGTCATTACCTGTCCCAATCCTTAGTTTGGTTGGTTGGTTGTTTTTTGGGGGGTTTTTTGGGGGTTTTTTTTTTTTTTTTTTTTGGACAGTTACTCAGCTTTTCATGAGACTTGAAAAAAGCCCAATACTAGACAGTAGTGGTTAGTGTTACAGATACAAGAAGTAGAACAACACTACAAATATAAGCTATAGTAAAAGAGAAATTGATGTATCTTAATAGCACCAAAGCATCTCTTCCTTTCAGCACTCCCATGCTGCAGTACCAAGTTTTGTTTTTCACCTGAGTTCTAGAACCATTTGAGCCCTCCTCCTGCAAGATTTCTGCCAATTTATCAGTTGAAAGATCTTATTCTTTAAAGGAAGTAAGAGAACATTTTTAAGAAGTTTTATCCAAGATCAAGCTTAGAGAAGCTACGTTAACGTTCTGTAATATTTAACCAGAAAACCTAGCGCTGCTACATGAAACAATTGATAACCATTTACTTTTACAGATGCTTATTCTGAATAGGTTTTTCAGACTATATTTTGCTAACAATAAAGAATACTAAAAACAGATGTTACCTTTGTGGCCTGCTAAAGAAAAACCTCACTGTAGCTCCTTTATACTGCTTCTTAACTTGTACGGTATTGAGCTGTCTCAGCTGCTTTTGTGTAGACACGCCTTTCCCTGTTTACTGTTTTCAGGTTTGGTGAATCCAAAGTCAGTCCTCTGTCCCTCTCACAAACAGTGGGTAGCTTCTCATCTTACTGTCCATGTTACTCAATTAAGGATTTGAATAGGTTTAATACCATTATTCATTTTGAGTTCTTCAAACTCAAAGACAATTCCTTAATAAGCCTTATTAAGATATCTAGCACCTCTACAAGCCATTTCAGGATTTGCAGAGCTGGAAGAGTTAACCAAAAGCACCGTTATAACACCTTAGAGCAACAAAAGCTGCATCAGAACCTGCAACAGTTGCTAGAGGCTGACATTGTTTAATTACAATGATTTTTTCCTAATTTTTTTTAAAAAGCTCCGCTGTAAAAAAAAAAAAAGGATTTAAAGAAAAATTCTATAATTGCTCACAGATCATCAGATTTCTAAAGGCTTTAAGTAAAAACAAAAAAAACCAAAACTGTAAAAATATT